TTGGAGTAGTGACATGTTTGTACAGCGACGAATCAGCAAATAGCTCCTGCAGTTCCGCCTTGAAGTTCTCATTAAAGTGGCCGGAGTTTCTAGGGTGTGCAGATTACTTGTCCCCTAACTGTAGAACTTAGTTGTAAGATCGTGCCAATTCATTCTTCGTAGCCGGGGCTAAAGCCTGATCCACTTATAAATTAGCCAATAGTGGGCGGTGTACCACGACAACTAGTCATAAATCGCCCTACCCTGGTTGTAGGCAGCACAATAAAATTTTTACCGTTTGAACCCTCTGAGTCAGTTACGCAGTCGACATTCATTTCGGTACGGTAGTACAGAAATACACCACTTCACCTCACGTGTCGGTCCTTGCGCATGAGTGACCTACCAGGTAGTGCGCTCTCAGCTTCGGTAATCACGTCGTTTAGCCATGTCTCGGTTGCCATGCTGATGTCCCAAGCCACTGAGGCTTGACGAGATCGAGGTTCGGCAAATTTACTGAGAAGACCCTTGGCATTTGTATACTAACAATTGAGAGTCACGGATGCCAGAAGCCTGTCTGAGCATACAAACGTTTCGAACGAATTCATGCCGACCTTTGTAGGGTCGGCTGACAATCACTTTCCTATGTGTTTCTGACCTAACACTCGGGGCCGTTTCGAGCTGCTACACAGAACACCCAGTACCTAAACTTTCAGAGGCGGTTTGTGTGGGATTGCCTATTTTTTCTCTAGACGGCTCTGGAGTTGCCCTGCGGGTCGGTTCAGTAATGCAGATCGCTGCGCTCCTGACAAGCTCTTGCTGATTTTGTGTGTGTGGTGGACTGGCTTCAACCGCCTGCAGACCTATTTCTCATGACAGTTGGAGGCGTAATTTGTGCCAACTTCAGCGCACCCTTTCAACCATTTGTTTGGAATGGAGCAGGTTTTCAGCACTCTCAAACCACATCCTTTTATTGTTGGGGGATAATGTTGACGTTGTGTTAGCACTCACGTGAATGTCGCGCCACTCTTCCAAGTTGAGCTTGGGGAAGTGACTCATCGGAAGACTGGATTTCGGGACACTATTTACAGCGATTGATCTTTAGTCGTTTCCCTGCGATCTTCTCCTGGGTTCCGCTTCCTTCGTGGACGCTCCCTCCGAGGGCGGTCCTTGCATGTCGAATCACGAAGATGGTGAGCTCATATAAGGCGGTCCCGCTTCCTCACCCAACTGAAATGTCACCTGAAGTAGCTTTGGTTCGCCATAGTGAGCTGAGTTTGGGTGGCTGACAATGCGAACCGAACTTGCCCATTTGGCTTGGATTCCTATTGCCTGGTATGTGGGTTCCCATTGTTTCAGATCATCCAGTAGTCTATCTTTGATAGAGTGCCTTTGGCTCAGCACGTTGAAGCATATTATCTTCATCGAGTTCTGCGTCTTCTTAAACTTCGTACTTTTAGATACAATAGTGCCTTACTGGCTTAGTGGTAGCGGTCACAACTAACATCCCAATGGTCCCGGGTTCGATGCCTGCTATCTCCATCTGATGTGAGGAAATAACCTCGAAACGCATCATTGAGTGCAGTGGTTTCAGACCGGCAACACCCAATTTGCTGCTGCTTCATCAGCTACGGTCCTAGTGATCGAATGGCCAAGGTTCACTTCAATGGGAATCACGGTTCACTTTGAGATTGCGCGTCGCAATCCATCCACACAACGTGTACTTCAAATTGACTTTCCAAAATAGTGCCTCCTTTTACTGGTGGCGTGGTGGGCGGTCTTTTTGGATGCACATTGGTATTCGTGTCATTTCTAACACTCTTTGGGATAGTTGCAGACATGACCGCTAACTTTGCCTTGAATCTCCATGCAACGATGACGTATGCGCATGTTGTCAAGCTTTCGGTGGTGTTTGATAAACCCGAATGCCACCTACACATCCCTAGGAAAAACCAATGTCTGTAAGATTAAGGTCGCCGGGGTTGACAGACCCTGTCTACCCACGTGTTTGCTAATTCTTGGGTTTGGTGTAGCTGGCTCTACATTGTTAACTATAACATGTTTTGGCTGCTTTGTTCCAATGCGGCGCTTTCTGTTAGACAACGGGAGTCTAGTTCTGCTGCAGCTGGTTCCGGTTCGACCGCTATGGCAACCGTGGCACACGGCATAATCGCTGTCATTTTGTCACATTTTTGTGACAGCACTTTGATGAATTTTACGAGTGAGTTGATCATTCACTCCGTACAGAATCAAATGGAGTCTGGTGTGCAATGTCTTACAATTCCGCTATACTTAAATTTGCGCACTTGAGATAGAATTTCTTACTGCAGTTACTACACGTTATTCCAATTCGAATAGTCTTGGTGCACGTTTTCGAATCACATAAAAATTTCAAGCGTCGTGTTCCCTGTATCAGTCTGAACAAAACAATAAGAAGACGAGCACTGCAACATGGCACTATTTCGTGTTATCTGATCACTTGCAAACTAGCAACATATATAGATCACGTAGGGGAAGGCAACGATCGTTTTGAATTGGTCAAAAAGTTCACACACAAACGCAAAACAATAGCTGGTAGCACTATGGCAATGGTCACGAACTCCAAGGAAGTTTCAGGGCTACTGTCAGTACCTTATACACCCAAACGGTTGGACGTTAACGATTTAGGGCCACAGCTTCGGCAAACTTCAGCACCCTGGCATTTTCTTCTCGGTAGATAACCGCAAAAGTTGACCCAGGGTCAACTTCATAACCTGTACTGACTAGGTGTCTAGCGATGGATGATGCCGGCAGTTTGCCTACTGCTCCTTGTCCGGTTGCTTGTTGTGCCATCAGCGCAGCAATTCGCTTCAGAATGTGCTCTCCAATCCGCTTACCCAGGCAACAATCTATTCTACCCACGTAACTGCTTCCGCAGCTACGGACGAATTGGTAAATGCAATGTGTTGTGGCGGAGATCGGCTGAGTAGGTTTGATTGGGGACATCGGCAGCTTTTTGGTTGTCCAGATAGGACAGAGTTTGGCAGCGTTGAATGTACGGCGAATAGCTGTGTTCACCCGTCGTTCAATTTGCGCCGTCACCACATTACCTTTGAAGGGTAGCTGCAAATAGACGGGCATTTTGGGCACAGTAAGTACTCTTGGTTTGTTTTCCTTCGGGTGACTGTGAAATCTGATGAATGCCTCTTGATATCCATTGGCCTGTAATGACAGTAGCTGTTAAGCTCCCTTGGGGTTCATGACCTTTGCCCCAGCACTACCAGCTATTGTTTTGTGTTTGTGTACCTTTTTTCTTACCAATTCAAAACGTTGGTTTCCTTCCCTTACGTTATCTGTATATGTTTTTAGTTTACAAATGATCAGATAACATAAATTGGTGCCATCTTGCAGTGCTAGTCTTCTTATTGTTTTGTTCGAACATACCAATTTCGCCTGCAGCTTCTTGGGCCGTGTACGTCTTGTTTTCCTTGTTGCTGTGTTGCGAACAATACCGAGGTATCAGTCAGGTATGTAAATTGTGATCACGTTTTCGCTGCCAGCGCACTGAGCGTGTTGGGACACCGGCACACGAGTGGGACGGACCACAGTTGCGAACAAATCCGATGGAGGCCAACACGCAACTCTCATGTTGTACGCTGTGGGCGCTTGGCTATCGATTGGGCCAGATTTCGGTGTGGTGGACAGTGGGTGTCGTAGACTTCACGCTAATTTGGCAGATGTTAGGATGCAGGCTGTTAAGCGGGTTGCTGCTGTCAAAGGAAGTGTCGGATTCTTTTGGTATATGAATCGCTGGATAGTGCTGAAAGCACTCTCTCAAATGCGGGTAAAAAGGATGTTATGCAGTCGAAAAGTGAGTCTGATTTGCGGATGGATCTCCGCGGAAACCCTGCTGAAATTGAAGTAACGGATGCAACGATGGTGTGTGCTCGACTGTCCAGTGTTGGTTGATCCAATGGATAGTGCAGGTCCATCCAAGTTGCATACGTGTAAGCACAGCAATGTGCGTCGAGAATTACGGGTAGGGAATTCGACAGGAGAGGATCGCCAAATCACGGTATTTTATTCGAAACACAGTGTTCTTTCTCCCTGTCAGTATACAGTTAACATGTCCATCACATCTTTACGCTCTCCGTCTGCTGAACACTAGTCTCATCTCAGACCGACTTATCCCTATGTTTTAGAAGTTTTTCTCATTGGCTTACCCTGACATGCATAGGAGCTGGTTGGCTACTAGTGCTCCAATCACATACAAAGACCGAGTTCCGTTTCATATTGGAATTCGCTTAACTATGTCTCTACTCCTCAGCTGATGTTATCACTCACACTCCACAACTTGTTGTTTTGCTAAATAGACGAAACACTGTTGCTATGAATGGTTTCTCCTTCAGTTTTGGACATTGCATGATGGGGTTCTTGATCATCATGGTTACTGTTCTTCTGGTTTGCTCTGCTTAGTGAATTGTCAGTCACTTTTGCAACTGCCGATTATTTGTTTTTCATGGCATTCATGTACTCATCTGCTTTCCACAACAATATGGTAAAGCGCTTCAAAAGAGTGCTTTACATGGTGCACTATTTGCACCGGATTATTGGCGCATCTCTAAAGTTGACATCGATCACTCCGAATATTGCTGTTGAGTGTAGTTTTCCATCTTCGTTTGTCTGTTAACTCATATGATGCTCGCGGAGCTTAGTGGGCTTGTGGTCGGGGCTTATGTGGTCAATACCTGTACTGGTTTTCGCTCTCTGCATGAAGAGTCCAAGTTAGGACGAAACCGGTCTTGGGGTGCATTGGTAGAAGTGAACAAAACAGTAAGTCTCTTCCTCTGATGCAATCCCAGTAATGGAAACAACTGCGGTTTCCTTGAGAATGATCCATTTTCGCATTCAGGACACACGTTGATTATTCTAAGACCCAAAATGAACACACTCTCCACTATCAATGTTTTATCTCCCAATCAGTAGCAATGAGTATTTCACTTGTGACACCGTAACTGTCCCATTGCATATGCCGCCCATTTCAGGTAGATACATTTTCATCCACCCCGACGCGTGTTTTGAAGCCTCCCTCTGGCCGTCTCCAGTGGGATGACAGCGTTGGAAGTCCTCTGATTCCTGTACAAAAAAATCCCATTGAGACAGGCGTGAGAACACCACAGCGTCGAGTACAGTTTGCCTTAACCGACCAAGGTGCTTCTACTGTGTCTTCGTTATCCGATGGGCGGTCTCATTCTCTGTGTCGGCGAATCCGTGGTGAATCAAACTTTTCTCCTGACTCAATTTTAACTGATCAAGGGAAAAAATTGCTCACACCACTTGGCAAATTCCAGGTATCCTCACATGCACCAGTGATATTTGCCGCATTGTGCTCGTCGTCATTTGGGGCATATGTGTATTTCCTTTGTATTGGTGTAACCTTTTTAACCATTTTTAGCATGCAATTTGATGCACTCAGTTTACGATTAGTCTGTTTGGCACGATATCATTATGCCGATTGGTTCGCAGAGCGGCCGCAAACCCCGCTACTACGAGCTCGCCGATTTGGTCGCCGCTATCGTGTAGTGCTAATGCTCCACACTTCTGGTGATGGGTTTGGAAGTAACCGGACGTTTAACCGTGATAACTATGAACGGTTCAAACTCCCAGAATTTGCTCAATCAATTACTAGCCACTGTCAGTGACAGCAGAAGATAGGCCGTGCTATAGCCCAGTTAGTTTGCAAATTGCCCAGCCACTGTCCCCCATGGCTTAGTGGTTTAAGCTGTTGGCTAGTTGTCATCTGCCTCTAGCGGTCATGGGTTCGATCCCCAATAGGGCGAAATGTGCCTGGTGCTTTTCCCGACTAGGTTGTGCTGTGGAGCTTGTGAACTATTGGGATTAAAACCTTAAATTACTGAAACATGGGCTAACGTTACAGGCTAGATAAGTTCCTAGGCGCTACGTTTGTTGATCCCATGGAAAGCTTGAAACGTGTACACGGCAGTGGGGCGCGTCATTTATCACATGTTTCCGATGATTTTCACTTGAGCGGGAGTTCATACATCCGCCGGTTGATGCGAGATGTACTTTTCGCCCCCCAAACGCTGCCACTGATAGTCATTTCGTGCAGAGCTGTCAGTTATCGTAACCTTCACGGCTTCATCAGATCTCTTAGTTGGGAAAGTGACTTCAAGATTGTTCGTGTGCTCTGTGGCGGCACTGAACGCTATTGGACGCAACCCCAGGTTACGGATTGCAGAACGCCTTCCTTGTGTAGGTAACTTAGAATAAGTCCCGTTTGCTCTGCAGGCGAGATAAATGAGCAGTCGCAGACGATCCGCGGCAGCATCTCAGAGCTTGGGGAGTTCGGAGGTAGCCACGTGGTTCTCCATCAAATACCACAAAAGCCCGTAGGGCGTTGTGTCATGGCCAATATGACCGGCTATTAGGTTACTGACCACTCACGTCTGTAAGAAAATAAAGAAAGGCATCAGCAGTATGTCGGTACGCAATATCGACGCTTCGCTGCCGTGCAACCACCACCGGTTGAACGTGGGCTAAGGTGACTGCGAGGGTCGCCCTGCCCCTACGCAGGCTCGAATCCGCGCTGTCAGATTAAAGACAATCTTGTTACCTCTAGACTACTGATCGACACTTTTGTAACCACTGGTGAGTATCTAGCGGAGGGTGAATAAACAAGCTTGTTGACAATCGGTTTCTGTGTGGACCGTTATCGAACACAAAGAATGCGCATAAGTCACCTGGTTGTCAATGATCTTCGTATCCAGCAATTTGCGTGAGTAGCTGCGCTGCGGGTCAGGTCTTTTAAAACCAAAGGCTCGGTTAGGTGGGGTCCATTTACTTAACCTTCTTCCTCGGTCTGGACGACCGGGAAGCTTTCTGAACACAAAACACATAAATATGCGTATCCTTTCCCTTCACTATCCCTTCTCTTTGTTTTGTCCTTACCCAGGTATTGTGACACTGCCAATTCTTTATTGATCAAATGTTAATTATATACATAGTTGATGAGCAAATTTTCTGTCCCAAGTCTTTACGTGTTTTCGGACGTTTAGTGTCCGCTTTGTAATCAGTTCTGCTACATAGTTATTTTTGGCCCATTGGTATGCAATCATACTAAGCGTACTGCTTGATGTTGTGTCCGTCGATATTTGCATCTATCCGGCTTGCATTTTCACATTCTGCCTCGATAGCGAACACGAAAGTATTCCTCTCTGTGTTTTCTATTTGATCTTTTCTTCAGATCCTTATGGGCTTGTATCGACCTAAGATAAGCTACTCAGGAGACCGAGAGTTCCTACCCCCTTGCACTTACGAAGTACCGGCGCTCGTCGATACTTTCCGTTTTCTCTCTTCTCTTATCAACAAAAAGGTGCGTTATTCGCCTTTTGTGCTATTCCGTTGCCCATGTTTCACGATACCTCCAGTTTCTCCGCCACCTTCAATCTGTCTAGTTGATATATATATAATGGCGCCATCAAAACTCATGGGCCTCAAAGAGAAGTGCAATTTAGATAACTAGGAAAAATCATTTTTGTTCGTTTTTAACGCGTCGATTTTATCATTGTCAACCTTTTAAACATTATCATATGAATTAAGACAACTCAACATACAATTCTTCCACTGATTCCGATTGCGAACCCTGTTGTCAAACACGTCAAGCCACTGACACTCCTCGTCGTTTGGTTTCCATTCCGGATGATTTATAGTTCCGACGGCGGCCAGATGTGAAGTAAACGATTTTATGTGCTATCACCATGCCGAAGGCTGTGTACGCTATCACAGACAAGTTACGTCTCTACTCCGGTCTGTTGTTGATTCTACACGAACCTCGAACTTTATTTGCATATAATCGACTGGTACTAACGAACCATCCCAACAACGCAGCCTCGATCTTGTGGTGTAGTACGACGTCTACATCAGCCCAACCCGCTGAGACTACTACTGGCTCAGTGGTTAGTGGTGGATGTCAGCGAAAGCACAGTCCTGGGATCCTGCAGTCGGGCTTCACAAAGGCGATAGCAGGGATTTCATGGTACCACCTAGACCGGCCTGTTGCGCAATGTGCATGATTGTCCGTACATTGAGGCACGCCGGACGGAACGAGGATCGAGTTAATATAACAACAGCTGGTTTAACTCCATGGTTCATGTTGCAACTGGCATCGACAGTAGTGGAAACTGGCAACGGCTTATAACAGGAGTCGTTAACAAATGATTATTTGGCTTTTGCTAAACTCGTATGGATGCAAGAACTAGAGACGACAGCAGATGAGCACAGTATAGATCGATCCATAGTTTTCTGTCAGAAAGTGCGATACTACTCGGTCGCCCAAGCCGAAGTAGCGAGTTCACTTAGGGGACAGCACCCCTTTAATTTGTTTAAATAGCCTACCCGCACGGCATCCGAACGAATTCAGGGAATCGCGTCTATTTGAAGTCAGTGACTGATTGCTCAGTTCATACGCCTTTCGTTTGGTCGCTCGGTTATTAAACCCGGACCTAATCCTCCCCACGGTTTCAGCAAGGGGTGCTGAAATACACTGCCCCACCAGAGTGAAACAGTTGGGTTTGAAGTATCTACCTTGTGGTCAGATTGCGACACGCAATCTTCATTGAAACCTCAGTTTACTTTGAAGTGGCCTTCGGTCATTTCGATCACCAAAATCGCAACCGAATTGGAGGGATTTCGGTGATCATCCGTTAATCGTTAGGGTCCGAGTTTCACTACCAGCTCAATCTATCTTTGCTTAATAAGTCCAAAGGAGGCTGAAACCGGTTGTTGGTGTCAGTGTTGGGAGCAGTAGTACCGAAACCCCTCCCCAGGAGGGCAATAGCTTTATCCAATGACGCGTCACATCCACCATTGCACTGTTACCAAACGGATATTTGTAGTCTTTTATTAGAGAATGCTTGCCAGGTGCAAATCTACCCTTCCTGAAACTACTGCCGAAGCATTTGGTGGAGTGGGATGAACCCGAGCCACAGCTGGCGCCACTAGGAGGCTGTGCGGTGAAGCAGCTAGTTATGTAGTACGTCCTACGGAAGCGGTGCACATCCCGCCCTTTTGTTTTCTCAATCAAGTTTTCATCCCTGACATAGTTCATTTACTTGCCCATTCGTTGAGATAGGTTTTACTATGAATTTCAAAGTATTAGGCATCGGGACTCTTGTTTTGCTGACGTTTTCAATGCGAACGCGTGCAGTATCTTTTAATATTGTTGGGCCGGATTCAGCATGCATTTTATTATCACACTCTCATGTCCGTTCAGTTCTTCTTCTCATGCCTCCACTCTGACCCGGCGGTCACTGGCCACTCTTGTTCCGTACGGGAATCTTGCGTTTGCCCTCCTTTGACTTAGTTCCTCCTCACAACCATTTATCTAAGTATTATTATTATAATACTCTCTCTGACTCATGTGATAGTGCTCTAGCGACTTTCCGTTTCTGTAATAGTGCGACATTTATTTGGGATTTTCAGATGCACTCCCGCTTCCTCCAATGGTGTACTACTCCCGGATTCAATGGTTGGATCGCTCGCCGATTACTTCTGTCCCCCAGTGCAACTGAAGTCGAACCGCACTGGAGTCAAAGTAAATTTCATCCCCACAATTCCGACCCTTCAACCACTGAGAAGATAAACCCTCGCATTTCCCTCCGTTGGCTTGCTAGCTACTCCACACTGGGTCGTGTATCTCTCCTTTACCTTTCGTTTGTGCTTCTCACTGGTGTTCGATCGCCGTGGATATTTTGCTTGTTCCTTACTGTTGCCTACAGTGTTTATCAATTGCTCAGATTAAGCTCTCTGTTTTTCACAGACTTATATCACGGGCGCAAGATATTCTGATTTCTCCGTCCGTTTGCCTTTTTTTACCGTTTTACTGTACAATGGGTATGTTATCTTTCACGTCTTGCTGTTCACTCTGTCGTATCGGGATTGGTGATCCACTTAAACTCGCCAACGACTATGCATGCTCCTATTTCCTCCACACTGATGTCTATACTGTTTAACCCTGTCGTCAGCTTTAACCGATAGCTGATGGACACAAGCAAGAACTATGGTATGGTCAGATTTGTGGTGTTTCCCTTATTTACTCGCTTACAGCCCAATGCCCAATCGTATCGACAACGATGCGGACCTTGACAGATCATCAACACCGCCCTCAGTTAAAGATACTCACCAGCACCGAGTTCACCAATCTACTCACGTGGTATCATTATACGATAATGCTGACCCGGTCTGGTCAGAATGTACTGGGCACAAGCACAACGTAACTATTATTACAAACCCTGCAGAATTTAATGTCACTGCATGTGCCCATTCCACAAGCAACGAGCCAGTAACTTATGTGGCACAACTAAGAACCAAATTGTAAGGTGCGCAATTGAGGATATTGGAAATTAGAATGATTTACTCCTTACTGAATATCACAGCAACTATCCCAGGTCCCAACTACATCCAAGAGCACCATGAGAATTCCCAACAGCCGAGAACATTTAAACAAATTCCATCAGGATATGAAAAACGCTCAGTAAATCAGCTAACGAACACTATGCGCTGTCACACGTCCTCATATGGTATTCTAACCGATTCTGTTGTCAATACTAGTAACCCGCATTACTACACACCATTACAAAAGTTCCTGATACCTACATCCCTAACCCGGAGTGGGCAGTATTCTAATACGAATGCTGAAGCATCTTATGACAGATCTGGAGAAACGCATAGGGACATACCACGCCAATCTATGCTGCATCCCAATGACAGTCTCAGTTTCTAGCCTACTCTCCACCGCCACTTTCTGCGTAACAGTTTTACCGTTTGCCAAGCGATCCCTTCTTAGATCAGCATCCGCCTCCACCAATAAGGTCTCCACATATGACCATACAAAACCCAATGATGATCCATTTGTTCCCGTAATTCCTTCGCTGGAGCTAGTGCAACGTAACACACAACAGAGCCCAGTTGTTTCACTGCGACACTCTACTCACGTCCATGCAGACGGAGGCCGTGATACAGTCAAATGAGTCCATCCTACTTCATTCCTTTCGCTTAATTCCACCATTATAAGTATTCGCTTACTATTACCCAAACCAGATCACCTTAAAACTTCACATTGTTTGTATCACCGAAACATAATGCACATTAGGCATAAGTGACTTTCAGTTGAATGTTCTGGGTTTCCAGTTGTTTCGGAAGTATCGTCTGCACAAATACGGTGGTGTATGCGCCATCTACATGGTCGCTGGCATCCTGTTCCGGATTTTGCCTGTGGATGTGGCCAGCCACAGGACGCCTGCGCCTACAGAGGGACCATGGGTGGCTTGCGCTGAAACACCCACAGCTCCAACGACACACCCCATATCCAGTGCAAACCCGAAGGAATAAGACCGGGTGGCATGTGGATGGGAGCCACGTTTCATCAACGGCCCACACTCCTTCACAGGCAAACACAAGCACGCTGTATTTGGGGAATCAAGCGCATACAAGGCGGTGGCTGGACCACAGTCCGCTCCACACAGAGTGCATGGAACCACTTTTTGATCCTAACACGGCCACAAGAACCGTGCACCCTGTCTTCTCCAGCAATGACCAGCTGTCTCCTAAGGCCAGTATGGACGAAGTACTGGGTAATAGACAGGTAGGCAGCTTATCAACACGCACAGCAGGTGCAGCCACACCGGGGATATCAAGCAACAGCCAATTACTTGAGTGAAAGATAACAA